CAGCCTGGATGACAGAGCGAGACTCCCATCTCAAAAAAAAAAAGTCATTGCAGGTTGGGCGCGGTGGCTTATGCCTGTAATCCCAACACTTTGAGAGGCCGAGGTGGGTGGATCACGAGGTCAGGAGATCGAGACCATCCTGGCTAACACGGTGAAACCCCGTCTCTGCTAAAAACTACAAAAAAATCAGCTGGACGTGCTGGTGGGCATCTGTAGTCCCAGCTACTCGGGAGGCTGAGGCAGGAGAATGGCGTGAACCCAGGAGGTGGAGTTTGCAGTGAGCCGATATCGTGCCACTGCACTCCAGCCTGGACGACAGAGCGAGACTCCGTCTCAAAAAAAAAAAAAAAGTCAATATGTCTTTTGCCATTAAAAGAAATGGCAGGCCGGGCGCGGTGGCTCAAGCCTGTAATCCCAGCACTTTGGGAGGCCGAGGCGGGTGGATCACGAGGTCAGGAGATCGAGACTATCCTGGCTAACATGGTGAAACCCCGTCTCTACTAAAAATACAAAAAACTAGCCGGGCGTGGTGGCGGGCGCCTGTAGTCTCAGCTACTTGGGAGGCTGAGGCGGGAGAATGGCGTGAACCCGGGAGGCGGAGCTTGCAGTGAGCCGAGATCACGTCACTGCACTCCAGCCTGGGAGACACAGCGAGACTCCGTCTCAAAAAAAAAAAAAAAAAAAAAAGAAATGGCAAAAGTCATTGTGATTTTTGCCATTAAAGGTAATGGCAAAAACTGCAATGACTTTTGCACCAACTTAATCATATACTGATAAGCAAGTGAAGAGGAAGGAGGTGGCCAGGGAGGGCCTCTCTAAGGAGGTGGCATTTGAACAGAGTCCTGAAGGGGGAGATAGAGAACCCTGTGGGTACCTGGGGAAAATCTACTGGCTCCAGCCTGGTCTGTGCCTTTTTCCCCCACCCCACCCCCAATCCCATCTAGGGTTCAGGTTTCCAAACAGAGGTTGTTGTCTCAACTGCTAGAGAAGGGGAATTCCGATGGGGGTTGCAGGCCCTCGGCCTCTGCGGTCTGCCTTCTCTCTCACTGGCTGTCCTAGTCTTAGAGCTGGTGTTGCCGTGTGGGGCTCCAGCTGGGGGATCTAGGGTCCCCCATCTGTTCATGCCTGAAATCCCAGCACTTTGGGAGGCCAAGGTGGAGGCAGGAGGATCACTTGAGTCCAGGATTTCCAGACCAGCCTGGGCAACATAGGGAGACCCCCCTCTACAAAAAAATAAATAAATAAAAATTCAAAAATTAGCCGGGCATGGTGGTACATGTCTGTGGTCCCAGCTACTTGGAAGGCTGAAATGAACCATGGTGGCACCAACTGCACTACAGCCTAGGCAACAGAGCAAGACCTTGTCTCAAAAACAAAAACAAAAACAAAAACTCTAGATCTGTCTTCAAAGGAGTCACTGAGCCGGCTGCCTGCAGACAAAAGAGGAGGATGTCACCAGTGAGCCCACTGAGGGACCCACTCCAGGCTGCATCCTGTCTTGGCTTCTCCTGGTTCTTGATGAACTTTGTGACTCCTCCTTCCATGGCAAAGAGGGGGCTGAGTGGCCTCTCTCTCTCTCTCTTTTTGTTCTGCTCTGTCACCCAGGCTGGAGTGCAGTGCCGTGATCTCGGCTCACTGCAACCTCCACCTCCCCAGTTCAAGCAATTCTCTTGCCTCAGCCTCCCGAGTAGCTGGGACTACAGGCGCCCACCACCACACCCAGCTAATTTTTGTATTTTTTGCAGATCCGGGGTTTCACCATGTTGGCCAGGCTGGTCTCAAACTCCTGATCTCAAGTGATCTGCCCACCTCAGCCTCCCGAAGTGCTGGAATTATAGGAGTGAGCCACTGCACTCAGCTGAGTGGCCTCTCTCTAGCCCAGTGGTGGATCCAGTGTGGTCTGGAGTCAGCCTGCTTGGGTTCAAACTCAGACAGGCGCTACCCCGACTAGTGCTGTGTGACTCTGAGCAGTTTGCTTGATCTCTCTGAACTCACACCTCCATGAGAGTTTATAGTAACTTCTACCTCCTGAGCAGTCAAGTCTTTACACCTGGAAAGTGCTCGGTGGAGATCAGCCATTACTTTTGGGAACACCGAGTCTAAGGGTGGGTATCTGGGTTCTTTGTACCCTCCTCAAACCATCTCTCCAGCTCCCCGGGAGGCACATACAACTGGGAGGATGTAAGAGCCTCCCACCACCCGCCAGGCTGTCTCTTTCAGGGAAAGCAGGGAGATCCCAGGCCTAGTTAATCCCCGGGAGGGGCAGGAGAGTTGCCCCTGAGAAAGATCCCGGTTGACCTCTGTTTTCTCCTGGCTCAGGCCAGGTTAAGGGTGTCAGGGGCACAGAATGGGAAGGTTGGCAAAGGATGAGTTACTCAGGCAGCAGCCCCCCTACCGTTCCATCCAGCCCAACCATGGGGCGCTCCTGGGGGAAAGTGCTCCCTGAAAAGACACACCAACCACCAGAAAGAGAAACTGAACCGTTTATTAGCCTAGGTCTGGGTTTCAGGCATTGCGGGGGCATGTCTGGGGAGCTCTATGAGAGGAAACAAGCCCCTGACTGGCTCCTTGCCCCCCAAAGACCCGCTCCCCCAGGCTTCGCATTCACAAGAAATTACTCTGAGGCATGAGGTTTCCTTCCCCAAGGTGAGCTGCACCCCAGCTCTCCAGTGGGGGGAGGGGCCAGCAATTCCAAAGGGGTCTGGGCAGGACCAGAGCTCCCTGACTTTGGCAGCTTCAACACAGACATGAGAAGACAGGACAGCATTCATTCTGGGGAAATGTAATGGGGAGAGGGGGGTCACAGACATCACGCCTATGCGCACACCCACACACACACACACACACACATAAATATACGTTTGTACCGTAACATCCCTTCCATTATCCACAGGTCTTTGTGAAATCCTTCTGGGGCAGGTTAGGGGCGAGTGTCCCTAGGAAATGTCCCTAGCCACTGCCACTCCCATGCTCCATTCAATATAAGTTGAAAGATGAAGGCCGGGCACAGTGGCTCATACCTGTAATCCCAGCACTTTGGGAGGCCAAGGCGGGCAGATCACTTGAGGTCAGGAGTTTGAAACCAGCCTGGCCAACATAGTGAAACCCCGTCTCTACTAAAAATACAAAAATTAGCCAGGCGTGGTGGCAGGTGCCTACAGTCCCAGCTACTCGGGAGGCTAAAGCAGGAGAATTGCTTGAACCCGGGAGATGGAGGTGGCAGCGAACGGAGATTGAACCACTGCCCCACTCCGGCCTGGGTGACAGAGTAGACTCCATCTGAAAAACAAAACAAAACAAAAATCTTGAAACCGTGTCAAAACAAAAAAAATCTTGAAAGAAGACACAGCAGGGTTCAGGCTCAAGGCTTCTCTCTGCCTTGCTCGGGAGACCTGGTACTTTAGCTGGGGCTGCAGGTGTGGACCCAAAAATAGCCTGGGGGTGGCTGTTTTTGAAAGGAGGGTGTCTGTGCAAACATCGCCCCCAGAATTTTCTCAAGTTGCGCCCTACCCCACATCAAGAGTCCCAAAGCCCTCCCCAGCCACCCACACTGGTTTTTCCCACTTGTGCCCCAAATAGTGCAATTGACCAATGAGGTCTGAGAATGAGGAATGGACCTCAGTCGCCATCCCCTCCCCACCTCCAGCCGTGGTTTCCGGGCCTCAGAGAGAAGAGGAGAAGTCATCAAGTGGCAGCTGATAAAATTTGGGGAAGCTGTGGATTTGGGCTCTGGAGGGTCAGAGAGGAGGCCTCTAGCTCCTCGGGACAGTGGTTCCAAAGTGGCACGAAGTTGCCCAGAGAAAGTGGCAGGAGGAATACATTCGAAAAGGAGAAATCAGTGCAGGAATGGGGGCCAGAAGAAAATGTAGAAATTCTTTGTACCGCTAGGTGCAGTGGCTCACACCTGTAATCCTACACTTCGGGAGGCCAAGGCGGGTGGATCATGAGGTCAGGAGTTCGAGACCAGCCTGGCCCACATGGTGAAACCCCGTCTCTACTAAAAATACAAAAAAAAAAAAAAAAATGGCCGGGCGCGGTGGCTCAAGCCTGTAATCCCAGCACTTTGGGAGGCCGAGACGGGCGGATCACGAGGTCAGGAGATCGAGACCATCCTGGCTAACATGGTGAAACCCCGTCTCTACTAAAAAATACAAAAAAAAACTAGCCGGGCGAGGTGGCGGGCGCCTGTAGTCCCAGCTACTCGGGAGGCTGAGGCAGGAGAATGGTCTAAACCCGGGAGGCGGAGCTTGCAGTGAGCTGAGATCCGGCCACTGCACCCCAGCCTGGGCGACAGAGCAAGACTCTGTCTCAAAAAAAAAAAAAAAAAAAAAAAAAAAAAAATTAACCGGGCGTGGTTGTAGGCACCTGTAATCCCAGCTACTCAGGAGGCTCAGGCAGGAGAGTCACTTGAACCCCGGAGGTGGAGGTTGCGGTGAGCTGAGACTGCACCACTGCACTCCAGCCTGGGCAACAGAGCGAGACTTCACCTCAAAAAAAAAAAAAAAAAAAAAAAAAAGGCCGGGCACGGTGGCTCACGCCTGTAATCCCAGCACTTTGGGAGGCCGAGGCGGGCGGATCACGAGGTCAGGAGATCGAGACCATCCTGGCTAACACGGTGAAACCCTGTTTCTACTAAAAGTACAAAAAATTCGCCAGGTGTGGTGGTGGGCACCTGTAGTCCCAGCTACTCGGAAGGCTGAGGCAGGAGAATGGCGTGAACCCAGGAGGCAGAGCTTGCAGTGAGCCGAGATCATGCCGCTGCACTCCAGCCCGGGAAACAGTGCAAGGCTCCGTCTCAAAAAAAAAAAAAAAAAAAAATCCTTTGTACCAGGTAGTAAAGCGCTCCTGCCCTGAAGTCCCCTTAAATGCTGCCTACCCTCACCCTGGCTCTTCACAGGTCCCCTGCCCTGGACTTCCCAGGATCCAGTTCTAAAGGGGTCACACCAGTCACCGGACTGGCCCTCAGGACCCCACTGCAACACTGCTATGTGACTAGTCAGTGCCTTATCTGGCCTTTCCAGGTGTGAAATATTTGTAACATCACCCAGGTCTGTGGGGCGGGGGCATCTGGCTCGGCAGCCCCACGTCTCTGTCTGGGGTCACCCAGTGGCCTCTCCATGAACCCCTCTGCCTTGGCCTGGTTGTTGGTCCACCCCCACCTCAGACCACCGTGTTGCCCTCCAGAAACGTGGGCGACGTGGGCATGTGCATGCCCCTCTCCAGGGAGCTGGAGCTGCGGAGTGGCAGGAGGTGGTGGCCCGGGGTCCCGTCCCGCCTCCGTCCTTGCACCCCCACCCCCGGCCGCCAGCACTGCAGCGGCCGAAGCACCTCCCGACGCAGGTCCCGGCTGCGCCACGTGTAGATGACAGGGTTGAGCAGCGAATTCAGGGTGGCGAAGGCGAAAAAGTAGTGGGCTTTGTAGAGGATCGGGCAGGAGTGGACGGGACAGGCATAGTCCAGAAGGAGGATGCTGAAGGCGGGCAGCCAGCAGACGATAAAGACACCTAGCACGATGGTGACCGTCTTGAGCAGGGCTAGGGTCTGCGGGCCAGCCACATCAGCGTGGCTTGAGCGGACCACGCAGTAGATGCGCACGTACAGCGCCACGATGGCCAACAGGATGATGGAGAAGATGGTCACCACGCACAGCACATAATGCTTCGCGTAGAGAGGCAGGACAGTGGAGCAGGCCTCAAGGTGGCCCAGGCAGTTCCAGCCAAGGATGGGCAGGCCACCGAGGACCAGAGAGATGAGCCACGAGGCCCCGATGAGCAGGAGCATGCGGCAGCTCTTGTCGCTGCCGTACAGCTTGACCTTGGCAATGGCCACGTGGCGCTCGATGGCGATGGCCAGGAGGCTGAAGACAGAGGCAGAGAGCGTGATGAAGGCAGAGCCCTCCCGGGCAAACCACTGCACGGGCGTCAGCCTCAGCGTGACAGAGCCGGAGAGCAAGGTATTGGCTACGAAGGCCACGCCTGCCAGCAGATCAGAGGCAGCCAGGTTACCCAGAAACAGGTACATTGCGGAGTGGAACTTGCTGTTTCGAGCCACTGCAATGAGTACCAGAAGGTTTTCCACCACGATGGCGCAACAGAGGATGACGATGAAGGCCGAGGCCACCTGGCGGGAGGTCGTCTCCTGCGTTTCCAGCGTCTCTTTGGTATAATTATAGTGTTCCTGGACCTTGTTGGGGTTCAGGTACTCCGAGTACAAGCTGCCCATGGTGGGGCTCAGAGGCCTGCTGGGGCCATGGGGCTGTCAGAACTGCAGAGAAGACAGACAGACAATAGGTCAGAGCTATGGGTGCTACCTGGGCTCTGGCCTCAGATGTGCTGAGATTCAATTTCTTGCTCTGTTACTCTTCGAGGAAGGGCCACATGAATTCAGAATCATCATCATCCCCGTTTACAGACAGGAAACCCAGAGAGGTTAATTCACTTTCCTAAAGTCTCAAATTTAACCAGCGGCAGGGCCAGAGAGGCTGGCTCTGCGGCCTCTTATAAGCCCTAGGCTACACTCTTTCTTATTTATTTTATTTATCTATATTTTAAAGACAAGGTCTTGCTCTGCCTCAGGCTGGAGTGCAGTGGCGTAATCATAACTCCCTGCAGCCTTGAACTCCTGGGCTCAAGTGATCCTCCCACCTCAGCCTCCCACCTCAGCTTCAGCTACAAGCACATGCCACCATGCCTGGCTAATTTTTTTTTTTTGAGACAGAGTCTCGCTCTGTTGCCCAGGCTGGAGTGCTGTGGCACACTTGGCTCACTGCAACCTCCTCCTCCTGGGTTCAAGTGATTCTCCTGCCTCAGCTTCCTGAGTAGCTGGGATTACAGGCACCTACCGCCACACCCAGCTAATTTTTTTTATTTTTAATAGAAACGACATTTCACCATGTTGGCCAGGATGGTCTCGAATTTTTGACCTCGTGATCCGCCTGCCTCGGCCTCTCAAAGTGCTGGGATTACCATTGTGAGCCACCGGGCCCGGCCGCCTGGCTAATTTTTTTTTTTTTTTTTTTGTAGAGATTGGGTCTCACTGTGTTGTCCAGGCTGGTCCTGAACTCCTGGCCTCAAGCAATTCTCCTTGGCCTCTCAAAGCAATGAGATTACAGGCATGAACCAAGACATCTTGCCTATTTTAATTTTCATTATTATTTTCTAAAGATACGGTCTTGCTCTGCCACCCAGGCTGGAGTGCAGTGGCATGATCATAGCTCACAGTCGACTCAACTCCTGGGCTCAAGTGATCCTCCTACTTTAGCCTCCTGAGTAGCTACACGCTTTCAAAGGGACAGAAGCTCCCCCAAATAGCATGAAAAATATAATGTGGACTTCCAGAAACCTTGCCCACCTGCCCAGAGAGCAAGCCCTAGGCAGGGCCTGGAGGGTTTGTCTCTTCTCTGGAACACACAGGCGCCTTCAGCCTCATGCTGACCTGGGTCAGGGCGAATCTCACCACTGATAGCTCCATGCCCTGCTCATTCATTACCACGCACTAACGCTGGATTTCAGGCTGGGTCTAAGTCTTAAGGCCACGGGTGTTCCCAAGATAAGGTCTTGGGGAGACACCAGGGCGGCCCTGAGGTTCAAACATCCCAGAGGTCATACCATCTTCAAGGACACAGACCTTGGAGACAATCCAGAGTTTGCTCCCATTCCACCTCTGAAACACTGGGCAAGTTCCTAGATGCTGTCTCAGCCTGAACCTCCTTATCCGTGCAATGGAGAGAAGAAAGCCCACTTCATGGGGGTGATGGGAAAATCCTTTTAAATGACGCATGAGGCACGTTTAGCTCATAGTAAGCACTCAACAAATACCGCCGAATGTTACTAGCTCCCCTCTTTCCTCCAATCCTTTGGAAAGGGAAGGGATGTAAGCCAACCAGATGAGATCTCCAACAGCCTGTTCTCATCAGCACCATCTAGCTCTGCCCTGGGACAGAAGGTCCTGCGCGGATGGGCAGGGCGCTGGCACCCCCTCCCCAGCCAGGATGAAATCCAGATGTGAGGCCCCTGGAACAAACTGGGTGGAGTCCTCACTCTGCAGTCACATCCGGTGTGAGGAAGGCGGGATGTGGGGGGAGTCAGGATGGGAGAGACCCCATCTGGGAGGTCCTGGCTGGGAGGATGGGGCAGCTTTGCTCAAGTCATGTGAGTGGTGGAGGGGTGTGCAGCCCTGCCGGGAGGGGGTAAGGCATTTGTTCCATGAAAGCCTGAGTCACCCCCCCACCCCCTCCCATCCCTCCACCCCAACCCCTCCCATCCCCCCCACCGCCACCCACCAAGGAAAACTGAGCCGTGGGGGGAGGGGGCGGAACCGCCACCCACCAAAGAAAACTGAGCCGTGGGGGGAGGGGTGGGGAGAGGCGCTCTCGGGCAGAGAGGATGAGAGGCAGACACCATGGCCTTCCCCCAGCTTGGGCGTAGGGTTAGGGGGGTGTCAGAGGAGCCAATGCAGTGTATGCCTTTTATGAAGGGAGAGGAAGTTCCAGCCCGTAGTCAAACGGGAGGAAGCGGGGAGAATAAGGGGAGTCCTCCCCAGGTCCCTAGAAACACGTCTGGCAAAGACTGTGTGTACCGTTCCAGAAAAGTCTGGTTAGGCCAGTTCTCCTGAGCCCAGGAGTGATGGAGGCTTCTGGAGTCACCCAGCCATCTCAGTTCCTGGCCACCCCCTCCAAGGGGCATCCTGACCCCTGGCTGGACAGAGGCAGCTGCTCCCCCAGGGCGGAGGGACATCCGTCCTAGTTTGGGAACAGACAAGGGCTTGTGCACGTCCCCGGGGACTGCTGCCCCTCCCAGATAGCCACACAGAGGCCCCTTGTTCCTTTGCTGGACGGAGCCCCAGGCATCTTGATGCCCTCTGCACACTGCAGCCAGTCCCAGGCAGGCTTGGGCCCAGGCTGCGGCGGGATCACACACAGCTGACGGGCCGGCAACAGCCCATGCCCTGATTGGCTCATTTTCAATCCAAGGGCACTGAGCGATTTGCCTATTGGCCCGTGCTTTCCATCTTCAGCCTCTGATTGGTCCAGTTGGGGGCGCTCTATGGCCAGCCCTACTGATGGGGTCCTTTACAGGCGACGGGAGCTCAGGCTTTCCAAGGATAGAGTTAATGCTATGTGGACGTCCCTAGGGGGAGTTTGAACCGCAGCCTGACCGCTGGGTCACCCCGACCAGACGCCCCCAGGCTGCCCTGGCCTGCTGGGCCCCTCCTGGGGTTCATAAGTGAGAATCAAGGTCCCTTTCCAGGCCTGGGAAGAAGACTGTGCAGTGCAGCCGCCCCCTCTGCTGCTCGCCAAGAGATTTACTGTGGCTTCCTGGAGAAATAAGAAATATATTCAGGATGGGTGTGGTGGCTCATTCCTGTAATCCCAGCACTCTGGGAAGCCAAGGCGGGCCTATCACCTGAGATCATGAGTTCGAGACCAGCCTGACCAACATGGTGAAACTCCCCACTCTATTCAAAATACAAAAAAAAAAATTAGCCGGGCGTGGTGGTGTGCGCCTGTAATCCCAGCTACTCGGGGGACTGAAGCAGGAAAACCACGTGAACCTGGGAGACAGAGGTTGCAGTGAGCCGAGATCGCAGCCACTGTACTCCAGCCTGGGTGACAGAGCGAGACTCTGTCTCAAAACAAAGCAAAACGAAATGAAATGAAATGTGTTCAGCCCTTGCATCCCAGGGACTGATCAAACAATCTTTCTTCTTCCCTGAGAGGAAGACTGGGGGCGCTGCGCTCTCACCTTCTGCAGCCTGGGGAGGTTAAGGCGTTCACAGAGGGAGAGGCAGCTCTCCTAGAGAAGGGGAAACTGAGGCCCATATTTTATCCAAGCCTCACTTTAACCACTAGGACTTTACTGAGGCAAGCACTTAGGTGGTTGACACGTCCCAGAAAGAGGAAGCAGGGCACTGAGGTTGGAGCTGGCGGAAGAGTCACCCCCTAGGTGGACTGTGGCCTAGCCTGTGTCCCCTCCCTGTGTTAGGTTACCAGGTTTTGAGAAGGACACAGAGCCTGTCTCCTAGTCACCTTCACCAAGTCCTTCCTGACTCCCTCTCAGAAGCTCAGAAAGAGGCCACTGGGCTCACATGGAATGTCCAGGCCTGAAATGGAACAGGAGGGACAAGTGATGGGGTTTGGAAGGAAGGGAAGAGAGATAGACTCAGACGACTGTTTGGCTGCAGATTAGGAGAGGGGAAGGATGGAGGAAGCCTCAGTGGCTTCTAAGCTCCTCTCCACCCACTCCCAGTTCCAGAGAGGCAGGCCCTGTGGTTACAGTTCCCCCTGGTCACCCATGGAGCCCCCATGGTAGCCACCCTACTTTTTGGTTTCCCTGTGGTTGTCAGGACCCCCTACCCTGCCATTCTCTACCAAGCAGCCAGGGGGAGCTTTTAAACTCATAACTCCATGTCACTCCCCAACTCCAAATCCTCCCATGGCTCCCTATAGCCCAAGTAGCATGGCCCCTGCCCACAAAGCTTCCTCCCATTCTCCCCCAGGGCCATTCCACTCCAACCACACTAAGCCTCCTCCATGCTACCCCCACCCCTACCTGCAAGCCTTTGCCCCTGCTGTTCTTTTTGGGGCACACTTTCCCTCAATTTTTTTTGAGACAGACACTCAGTCTGCTGCCCAGATTGGAGTGCAGTGGTGTGATCTCAGCTCACCGCAACCTCTGCCTCCTGAGTTCAAGCGATCCTTCTGCCTCAGCCTCCTGAGTAGCTGGGGTTATAGGCACCCACCACCACACCCAGCTAATTTTTGTATTTTTAATAGAGATGGGGTTTCACCATGTTGGCCAGGCTGGTCTGGAACTTCTGACTTCAGGTGATTCACCTGCCAAAGCCTCCGAAACTGCTGGGATTACAGGCGTGAGCCACCGCGTCTGGCCTTTCCCCAAATCTTCGAATGACTGTCTCTCCATCTTTCTGGTTTCTATTTAAAGGTCATTTCCTCAGAGGGGACTCCCCTGACCTCTAGTCTACAATAGCAGCTGTCTCCAAGCCTTTTCTAATCACAGAATATTGTTTTATTATCTGCGCAGCGCTTGCCACTATGGGAAACTATCATGATATTTCTCCTTTTCTGTCTGGCTTCCACCTAGACAGTCAATGGGTAAGGCCAGGGAGCAAGTCAGCTATCAGCCCCTACAGGGATGCCTGGCACAAAGAAAACACTCAGAAAACGTGTGGAATGGGCAAATGAATGAATGAATGAATGAACCAACGAACAAAGGAGACCCTAGTGGGTTCCCAAGGGTGGAATCTCCTAATTTCAGCCCAGACCCAAACAACAACGAAGGAGCCTGGAGACACCTCTGGTCCCCGGGCAGCGCCCCCACCGCCCACCATCAACCAGGCAAAGCCCAGCGTGTCTCCATGGAGATGGCAGCAGGACCCGCCCCCGCGCTGACCCGCACTCTCGGCTTCCTTATCTGGCCTAGGAATGCGCGGTATCCACACTCGCTTGCGCTGGAGCCACGCCTCCTCTCCCCCCTACCGCTACGAGACCACCCCAACGTCTCCAAGCGGGACTGGAAGGACTCCTCTCCGTCCCGCCAGGGGTCCCGCCTCGAGATTCTGGGAAGACTGGGGGTGGGGGACCAGATCGTAGCAGCAGCTGCACCGCGAGTTCCGCGCCTGCCCGAGTCGCCCCACGCGGGGGACCGTGGGCTCAGCGCGCGGCGCCCGGAGCATCTGACAAGGACAGAGACAGAGGGGGTGGAAATCCCCGGGTGAGTCAACCCGTGCCGGAGAAGGGGGCGAGTTCCGAGGCTCAGCCCGGCCAGGGGCCACGCGGGGTCCGCGCCACGCGCGCCTTCACCCACGACCCATCCCTGAGCCGGAGTTGAAAGAGGAGGCGCCTAAGCCACGCAGTCACTTTTTCTTTCCTTCCAAAACAAAGCCACGCCCCCTCGGGGGAACCGGAGGAGCAAACAACTTGGGGAAACCGAGGCAGACAGCCCGACATGCGACCGCCCTCCCCGTGGGTGCCGCCCCTTGGCTTGGAGGCTCCACGGCGCGCACATCCTTTTGCCCTCGCTCAGCAGGAGTCAGCCAGGAGGGGTGCTGCACCCCTCCCCCAAACACACTCCCCAAGACCCTGGTCCCCGGGCACAGCGTCCAGCCTCCCAAAGACTCCAGTCGAAAGCGCTCGGATTCCGCCTTCTCCCCGGCGCCAACTTCCTGCCGCTGAGAAAGGCGGGGAGCACAGTCTGGGGGTTCGCGGCCGAAGCAGTGGGGGCCGCCCGGACTCTTGGAGAGGGCGCACGGTGACCACCCGCTCTGTGCAGCAGGAACCCAGGCGGCGCGTGCGCGCCCCAGCCTCCCGATCGGGGCCCCCTAGCTCGGATCCCGAGACCTCAGGGGACCAGGGCCCGCCCTTTCTGCTTCCTTGTCTTTACGCGCGCTCACCTGGCTAGGCCGGCCCGGCTCCCGGCCCTGGCCGGAGGGGCCTTGGCGTCTGCGTCCCCAGGGCGGCCGCGGCTGGGGCTGGGGTTGCCCGCCGGGCTCGGCTACGTCCCGGGGCTGGGACGAGGGACAGTGGGGGGGCGGGGTGAGCCGCCACCGCCTCTGCCCCCCGCTCGCCCCGCCCTCCTCTCCTCCCCTTTCCGGCGGCGGCTGCAATGAATTCCAGATGTGGCCTGCCGGCTGGCCGGGACGCACGCGGGGGCAGACAGGAGCTGCACGGAGGGCCCCTTTGTCCGCCCCCCCACCTCTCGCTTTGCCCCTCCCAGCCCCCACCCGTGAGAACCGGCCAGCGGGAAACGTCACGCAGCCTAGTGACGTCACAGTACTCTTGGCCAGGTGGCCTCAACCTGAAACAGCTGTCTTCAACTCCAGGTTACCTCTGGGCTCTCCCCGGGACCCTGGACTTGGAAGAAAACACAGGTCACCTTTATTTACTCAACAAAGAGCCTTGGAAGTACCTACTAGGTGTCAACGCTGCAAATAGGCATTAAGTGCCTATTGTATGTCCACCCAACAAATAATGAAATTCCTACTAAGTGCGATGTCCTGTCCCAAAGACAAAATTGGTCTCTCCCTTTTTTTTTTTTTTTTTTTTTTTTTTTTTTTTTTGAGACGGAGTCTTGCTCTGTCGCCCAGGCTGGAGTGCAGTGGCCGGATCTCAGCTCACTGCAAGCTCCGCCTCCCGGGTTCACGCCATTCTCCTGCCTCAGCCTCCCAAGTAGCTGGGACTACAGGCGCCCGTCACCTCGCCCGGCTAGTTTTTGTATTTTTTAGTAGAGATGGGGTTTCACCGTGTTAGCCAGGATGGTCTCGATCTCCTGACCTTGTGATCCACCCATCTCGGCCTCCCAAAGTGCTGGGATTACAGGCTTGAGCCACCACGCCCGGCCTTTTTTTCTTTTTTGAGACAGGGTCTCACTCTGTCACCCAGGCCATAGTGCAGTGGCTCAATCATAGCTCACGGGAGCCTCAACCTCCTACCTCAGCCTCCAGAGTAGCTGGGACTACAGGTACGCCATCACACCTGGCTAATTTTTTGCAGTTTTTTGTAGAGATGGGGGTCTCGCTATGTTGCTCAGGCTGGTCTTGAACTGTTGCATTCAAGCAATCCTCCTGCCTCGGCCTCCCAAAGTGCTGGAATGACAGGTGTGAGCCACTGAGCCTGACCAGTCTCTCCCTTGATAGAACTCCAGAATTCAGGTGCTGCCCTCTCTCCCCTGGGGGACTGGGGACACTCCACAGTCTTTCCTGCTCCTGTAGATCACTGTCCCCTCTGGCAGGGGGCACCAGCAAGGCCCAGTTTGTGCCTGCCTTCTGGCATCTGGCCCGGTCTTCTATCCAGTTTTCCAATTTTCACTCATTCCTGGGCGTTTCTGTGTGCCTACCTGTAGAAATTATGCACACTACACCTTCATCGAATGATGTTTGTGTACGTGTGTGTGTGTGTGTGTGTGTGTAACCAGCAGTTTGACAACAGGAAAGGACAGCCCCTCATTCCCTCAACAAATTTTTTTGTTTGAGACAGTCTCCCTTTGTCTCCCAGGCTGGAGTGCAGTGGTGCCATCTCAGCTCAGCGCAACCTCTGCCTCCCAGGTTGAAGCTATTCCTGTGCCTCAGCCTCTCGAGTAGCTGGAAATACAGGCGCGTGCCACCACGCCCAGATGATTTTTTTGTATTTTTAGTAAAGACAAGGTTTTACCACGTTGACCAGGCTGGTCTCAAACTCCTGACCTCAACTGATCTGCCTGCCTTGACCTCCCCAAGTGCTGGGATTACAGGTGTAAACCACAGCACCCAGCAACAAATATTTTTTATGCACCTACTGGGCACAGCAGTGAACAAAAAAAAAAAAAGGAAAAACTCATCCAATGGTTTTTTTTTTTTTTTTTTTTTTTTTTTTGAGACAGAGTCTAGCTCTGTCGCCAGGCTGGAGTGCAGTGGCGCTATCTCAGCTCACTGAAACCTCTGGCTTCTGGGTTCAAGAGATTCTCCTGCCTCAGCCTCTTGAGTAGCTAGCTGGGATTACAGGCATGTGCCACCATGCCCAGCTAATTTTTGTATTTTTAGTAGAGATAGAGTTTCACCATGTTGGCCAGGATGGTCTCAATCTCCTGACCTCGTGGTCTGCCCACCTCAGCCTCCCAAAGTGCTGGGAATACAGGCATGAGCAACCGTGCCCAGCCAACCCAATGGATCTTATGTTCAGGTGGGAGATTTGGCTTTTTATGAGGGTACCATTTGTGAAAATGTACACATTATATGTTATAAACATAATCTGGCCAGGCACGGTGGCTCACGACTGTAATCCCAACACTTTGGGAAGCCAAGATGGGTGAATTGCTTGAGCCCAGGAGTTCTAGATCAGCCTGGGCAACATGGTGAAACCCCATCTCTACAAAAAATACAAAAATTGGCTGGGCCTGGTGGCTCACGCCTGTAATCTCAGCACTCTGGGACTCAGAGGTGGTGGATCACTTGAGGTCAGGAGTTCAAGACCAGTCTGGCCAATATGGCAAAACTCCTTCTCTACTAAAAATACAAAAAATTAGCCAGGCATGGTGGTGGGCACCTGTAATCCCAGCTACTCAGGAGGTTGAGGCAGGAAAATCGCTTGAACCCGGGAGGTGGAGGTTGCAGTGAGCCGAGATGGCGCCATTGGACTTCAGCCTGGGCAACAGAGCAAGACTCCGTCTCAAAAAACAAAATAAAATAAAAATAAAGAGGCCGGGTGTGATGGCTCATGCCTGTAATCCCAGCACTTTGGGAGGAAAAGGCAGGTGGATCACCTGAGGTCAGCAGTTCGAGACCAGGCTGGCCAACATGGCAAACCCCATCTCTAATAAAAGTACGAAAATTAGCCGGGAATGGTAGTGTGTGCCTGGAGTCCCAGCTACTTGGGAGACTAAGGCAGGAGAATTGCTTGAACCCTGGAGGTAGAGGTTGCAGTGTGCCAAGATCATGCTATTGCACTCCAGACTGGGCGACAGAGCAATACTTCATTTTAAATAAATAAATAAAATTAAATAAATAAATGGAGTAGTCTTGTGTGTATTGATGGGAAATGGTCTTCCACATATTAAGTTGAAAAAGTACAGTGTAGACCAGTATGCATTGCATTTCTGGGTGTATTTATAAGAACTATATAAATACACACACATTTGCCTGTGACACACAGTCTGTCTCTGGCAGAAGGCACCAGACCCTAGTCACAACAGTTACTCTTAGGGAGAGGAACTGTGGGTGGGAAAATGAGGTAAGAAGAAACAGCTTTTCATGATATACCCTGGAGGGCTGTGGGTTTGTTTTTTGTTTTTTTTTTTTTTGAGACGAGGTATTGCCATGTTGGCCAGGCTGGTCTCGAACTCCTGATCTCAAGTGATCCGCCTGCCTCAGACTCCCAAAGTGCTGGGATTACAGGCGTAAGCCACTGCGCCCAGCCGGCTGTTTGAAATCTTTAGCTTCTAATAGCAATTCAAAAAAATGTACAAAGAGGTCGAGGCAAGGTAATCACCTGAGTTCAGCAGTTCGAGACCAGGCTGACCAATATGGTGAAACCCCATCTCTATTAAAAATACAAAAATTATTGGGAGGCCAAGGCAGGTGGGTCATGAGGTCAGGAGTTCAAGACCAGCCTGGCCAACATGGTGAGACCCAGTCTGTATTAAAAATACAAAAATTGGCCAGGCGTGGTGGCTCACACCTGTAATTCCAGCACTTTGGGAGGCCGAGGCAGGAGAATGGTGTGAACCTGGCAGGTGGAGCTTGCAGTGAGCCGAGATCCTGCCACTGTACTCCAGCCTGGGTGACAGAGCGAGACTCTGTCTCCAAAAAAAAAAAAAAATTATATATATCTATATAAATTTTAAAAATCAGTCATGCCTAGTGGCTCATGTCTGTAATCCCAGCACTTTGAGAGGCCAAGGCGGGAAGACCAGTTGTGCCCAGGAGCTTGAGATTAGCCTGTGCAATATAGTGAGACTTCGTCTCTACGAAAGAAAAAACAAAAAATTAAACATAGCCAGCATGGTTGTGTGTGCCTGTAGTTCCAGCTACTCAGGAGGCTGGGGTGCGAGGATCACTTGAGCCTGGGAGGTGGAGGTTGAAGTTAGCTGAAATCACACTGCTGCACTCCAGCCTAGTTGACAGAACAAGACACTATCTGGAAAAAAAAAAAAAATCAACAGGCCAAGCATGATAACCTAGCACTTTGGGAGGCAGAGGCAGGAGGATTGCTTGAGGCCAGGAATTTGAGACCAGCCCAGGCAATACAGTAAGAGCCCATCTCAAAAAAAAAAAAAAAAAAAAAAATCAACATATTAATGTTACATATAGGCATGCTACATATGTGTGTATTTAACACAACATGTAATAGCTCTGTGCTAAGCCTGGTGATGCCTAATTGGTCGCTGCCATCCAAAGCTGACAGTCTGATGGAGGAGACAGAGAAGAAACCAGACAATTATTTTTATTTATTTATTTATTTATTTTGAGACAGAGTCTCGCTCTATCGCCCAGGCTGGAGTGCACTGGCAAGATCTCGGCTCACTGCAACTTCTGCCTCCCGGGTTCAAGCAATTCTCCTGCCTCAGCCTCCCAAGTATCTGGGATTACAGCTGCACCCCACCACGACCAGCTAAGTTTTGCATTTTTATTAGAGACGGGGTTTCACCATGTTGGCCAGGCTGGTCTTGAACTCCTGACTTCAGGCTATCCACCTGCCTCGGCCTCCCAAAGTGCTGGAATTACAGGTGTGAGGCACTGTGCCTGGCCGAAACCAGACAATTTTAACACAGGGTGATGGGGCTTTGAAAGGGGGATACAAAGAAAGTCAGAAAGTGACTAGTCAATTCTAGACTTTGCTCCCTTTCCTGAGCTTGATTTCAGGGTCTACCGGCTTCTGGGCCATATCTTGGGGTCTACTGGGACCTTAGCAAAACCTCACTGCCTCCTCTACCGAGTGAGAAGTGTTGCCTGAACACTCTAGAAACCAGGTGTTCAACCCGCAGAGGAGGAAGCATGAAGAAAATTAGGTTTTCTCCTCGTCTGAGAGCTATCAGAGCGGAAATCTCAGTCTTGTGTGGGGACCTGAAGGCTGGGGAGGAAGTGACCGCCCTCATATGCCTGGGCTGGCTCAGCAATTTGCAGTCTCCCCTGGGACCTGGGGGGTTGGGGCATGGGGGTGATGTAAAGGCTGCAGACATATGTGGCCGTCTGCCAGGGGAACTGTGGCTCCCAGACAAAGGTGATGTCCCCGGGGACACAGACACACCGACATGCAACTTCCGCCTCCCTCCCACTTCTGGTTCAACACAATGTCTTCGCCAGGTCAGCCAAGGGAGCGGTACGGAGGACTGGAAAACGCTGGAGGCCTGGACTTCCTGATGGTCTTGCGGGGGTCAGGAGGAGAGCTTGGCCGACCCCGGTGGTGGGGGGGGCGCCTGAGTGAGAGAACAGTGGAGGAGGAAGGAAACAGGGCCCTTTTCTTGGAGAACTCCCAGCAGGGGAAATAGAGGAGAAGGAAGAGGCTTGAACTAGCTTCCACTAATTA